GTTCGCGGACGCTTCGTACTTAATCGACTTTTAAATATTTACAAAAAAAAAAGGCTTTTAAATTAAACAAAATCTATTAGCTTGCATTTAAATCAATAAAGACGATGAAGATAACAAGAAAATAAATACTTATCTTCGTTTTCTTTAATAAAAATAATATTTATTAAATAGAAAGAGCTTAAGAAAGAGCTTGAAGAAGATAAATAAAAAAAACAAAAAGATTCGCCGTCGATTCGATCTATAGCATCTTTTAACTCAATTTAAAAGACACGCGGTGAAATAAAATTTTCGTAACTTAATTAAGAATGAATAAGATTATTAAAAATATATATATATATATTATTGCAATGTTGCAAGCAATGTTATAAGCAATATAAGTGTCTACGTTCCTCGCGGTTTTTGGCGTTGAAGCGGGACATAATTTTTTCGCGGGACATAATTTTTTCGCCCACTTTAGGGAAGGGCCCCAAAAGTTGCGACGTCAAGGCCTACTATTAGATAAAATAAGTAAAGCCGTCGTACTTTTAGCGAAAAAGTTTAATAGTATTTATATAAATAAGCTCGTCGAAATACCGTTTTAAATTAATATATCTTTTATATGCTTTTTTAATTATTCGACCGTCGAAGCAGCTTTTGCAAGCGCATAAAAGAAGAAGTATGCGTAAGTTTATATCTTTTAATAGTTTTTGCATTTTTAATAAGTTTTTTTATCCGAAATGTTTAAAACGCTTATGCTAAATAGCTTAAGCTTTTTTAATAGAAAAAGCGGTTAAAGCTCGATATTAAAATCGTTATTAAAAAGAATTTAAAATATCGAAAGTCGAAGCTAGCTAAGAAAAGTAAGCGTAGCGTCGTTAGCTAAGATCGAAAGCTTTATGTATATAACTTAAACGAAAAACTCGGTTTATAAGCTAGCGCAGATCGATATTAAAGCAAAACAAGTCTTAAGCGATTCGAGCGGTAAAAACTAAAGAGTTTTTGCTTAATAAAGAAAGCAAAGCACTTTTCTCGCTTAAAATTATACTTACACTTTTTCGAATGAAATTCAAATAAAAAAGAAAGTTAATATTAAAATTCGAATAATAAATAACGTTATATAAACGAATTTAATCGAAGCTGCTATCGTTCGTTTTAACGAGTAAAGCAATTATGCTTTTCTTTTAAAGTGAAAGTGAATGACTTTTTATTTTAAAAACGGTAATTGCTTCGCTTAAATCGAATAAAAAAATGTTTTCGAAAAACTTTTAACGATAAAACATATGCTTAATGCAGCTACTATTAAAGATAAAAGTGTTTTCGAATGTATTTAAAGATTAAGAGGCGAGAGCGTATAAAGTTTCTTAAGAGAATTAAAAAGAAGAATTCTTAAGAAAAGCTTTAATAAAAAGTGCGGCA